ACCAGGAATATCATTGGTGATGGCAGGTGGATCCTGGCTAAAACAGTGGATATCAGGAGAACGTCTATTTATGTTTTATGGACTGTGAAAAGGCATGTGACCATGTGAATCAGAAAAAAAACCTTGAGAAAAATGAAAATTCCAGAACTTAAATGTGCTCAAGTAAAATCTATATCTGGGTCTAGAAGCTATCGTCCAAAGGTAGCAAGGGTATATTAAATGGTTAAAAATCAGGAAGTGTGTATGTCAAAGATGTATCTTTTCTCTATACCTATTCAAACTATGTTTTTGTTGTTATGTGCCATCGAGTCGCTTGCGACTCAGCAACCCTATGTACAAGAGCTCTAAACGCTGTTCTATCCTGTGCCAACCTAGCCATCTCAAACGCACTCATTCCTACCACTCCAGTCACAGAATTGATCCATCTCATCGAAGGTGTTCCTCTCCTTCGCCGCCCTTCCACTCTGCCAAACATGGTGTCCCTCTCCAAGGACCAGTCCCTCCTTGCAACATGCCCAGAATATGTCAGACAAAGCTTCAGAATCCTCGACTCCAAGGAGCATTCTGGCTTCACCTTCTCCAGGTCAAACCTGTTTGTTCTCCTAGCAGTCCATAGTATATTCAACACTTCTCCAGCACCACTGCTCAAAAGCATCAATTCTCTTTCTATCATCCCTGTTCACTGTCCAACTCTCTGATGTATACCACGTAATTGTAAAGACTATAGCCCGGATCAGGTGCACCTTAGTCTCCAGCCTAACATTGTTGCTCTTCAGTACTCTTGAGAGGTCCCTCACAGCTGACTTTCCCAATGCAATTCGTCTCTTGATTTCCTGGCTGCTGTTACCAAGAGTGTTGACTGTGGAGCCAAGTAAACTAAAACTGTCAACTATCTCTGTCTCTTCACCATCCATACTGATGCTGTCAATTAGACCAGTGCAAATAATTCATGAAGCTGGACTTTATGAAGAAGAATGTGGTATCAAGATGTGAGGAAGACTTCAATAACCTGTGGTATGGAGATGACATGACCTTGCTTGCTGAAAGTTAAGAGGACTTGACGCACTTACTGCAGAGGATCAAGGACTACACTCTTCATTATGGATTACATCACAACATCAAGAAAGCAGAGATCTTCACTACTGGGCCAACAGGCAACATCATGACAGGTAGAAAGATAGATGATAGATAGATAGA